CCTTGACGAATATAATGAGAAAGATTTTTAGACAATGACAACGATAATTCTAAAATACAAAAGTGTAGAGACAAGTGTTTGACACTGGTTGGCTTGTGGATTTTTTCAACCGGTACTCGTAATGTCTTGAAAACTCTTCGAATGGGGAGAAAAAGAGATAATTTTCTTATAGTATGATATTTGAGATGATAGCCTATATATAGAATGATAATTATTTAAAAGTCTCATTATTTCGAAATGGATTATCTTGACATCCACTTATATTTAAGCACATATTCAATTAAATAATTAATTATTAAATATAAATAATTATTTTATTTACTTACACAACCGATTAAGATTCTTATATATATATATATATATATATATATATATATATATATATATATATATATATATATATATATATATATATATATATATATATATATATTATATATACATATATATTACATATATATATATATATATATATATATATATATATATATATATATATATATATATATATATTATGTATATATATATATATATATATATATATATATATATATATATATATATATATATATATATATATATATATATATATATATATATATATATATATATATATATATATATATATATATATAAAATATATATGTTATATATATATATATATATATATATATATATATATATATATATATATATATATATATATATATATATATATATATATATATATATATATATATATATATATATATATTATATATATATATATATATATATATATATATATATATATATATAATATTTTTATTATATATTATATATATATATATATAATATATATTATATTATATATATATATATATATATATATATATATATATATATATATATATATTTATATATATATATATATATATATATATATTTATATATATATATATATATATATATATATATTTTATATATATATATATATATATATATATATATATATATATATATATATATATTTTATATATATATATATATATATATATATATATATATATTTTATATATATATATATATATATATATATATATATATATATATATATATAATATATATATATATATATATAATATATATATATATATATATATATATATACATATATATATATATATATATATATATATATATATATATATATATATATACATATATATATATATATATATATATATATATATATATATATATATATATATATATATATATATATATATATATATATATATATATATATATATATATACTGCTCCGTCCCGCTCATCACACGGGGTCGGCCCAATCCATCTCTCCGTCGTGGAGGGCCTAGCTCATTGATCAGTTGTCGCGCGCGGATCATAACGAGTGTTTTTGATGAAAACATAATACAACGACAATTCAACTCGGATATCGTCTCAAGGATTCTTTTACACTACAAGAAAATGTGCATTTTCCCTAGTGATTTAGTGACGTGGGAAACACGTAGGAAAAAAAATGTGTTGCCAAGTGATTACCACGTCACTAACATATTTAATTAATAAATTGTGTAGTTTAAAAATATGGAACGAAATTTTGGAATTTTAAGAGGGAGGGAAGTTTGAATTTTTTTAAAATTCAGTTGTGACATGAAAATCACAAGGGAACATAATTCAGAAAATACCCACATGTCTTTCACTTCGCAACACACTCACATTAATTATTTTCTGACCGTTGCTTTGGCTTTTAGTGGGCAACGGTAATAATAAAATAAAGGGGGGAATGTTCTGACCTGAAAGCCACGTCGCAAACTTCCGAAATAAATACCACGTCGCAACTTTAAATTTTACTTGGCATTAAATGAAACATTTTTCTAGGGGAGTATTACCGACCATTATTACACGTCGCAAACTACCGACCATTATTGCACGTCGCAAACTTCCGATTCAGTTGCCACGTCGCAAACTTCCCAAGTGGGATCCACGTCGCAACCTCCCTTATAAATGCAAATCCCAGAATTTTGTCTTGGCACATTTCGTATGAACTGAAGAACACAAAACCTATTTTCTTCTTCCCCTTTCTGCGTTCTGTTTATGCTTGCTGCCTTCCCTCAACTCCATTTTTATTTCATAAGACCAAGATTTAAGGTGAAGTATATGTTGATTTTGTGACTCTTTTATGTTACCTTTTATTTTATATATTTGTTATTATTAACTGTTAATTTTTTTTCCAGATCTAACATTGATTTTTAAGAAATTTCATTGGAAGTTTTAAAAGCTTGTAAAGAGGTATTTCAGCAATTAAATTTGTTTATATTTATTGTTGTTGAAATTTTATTGGAAGTTTTGAGAATTTTAGATTTTAGAAAATTTTAGATTTTAGTGATATATATATGTATTGTGTTGGTTGTTGTTATGTGATTTTTAATATGTTATGTGATTTTTAATATTATTTTAGATTTTAAAAATATATTATTTTAGATTTTAAAAATAATATGTTATGTGATTTTTAATTAAAAAAACAGAATATTTTTTGATAAGGAATTAAAAATATATTAGAATATGTATATTATTGAATTTATTAGAATTTTTATATATTAGAAACAAAAAAAATATATTAGAATTTTTATATATCAGAATATTTATTAGAAACAAAAAAATATAGTAGAATTTTTATATATTATGTTAGAATATATTAGAATTTTTATATTATGTTATAATATATTAGAATTTTTATATATTAGAATGTATTAGAATTTTTAAATGTTATAATATATATTAGAATATATTAAAAAATAATATAATAGAATATATATTATGTTAGAAAAAGTAGAATTTTTAAAAATATTTATAGTAAAAAAAATTGTAAATAGAAAAAATTAAAATATATTTTTAAAAAATATAAAGAATATGTATTATATTTAAAATGTGTTATTTTTAAATGTATTATTTTTAGAAAAAGTATTTTAATTAAAAAATAATGAATATGTATTAAATGCGTTATTTTTAGGAAATCAATTATATATATTATAGAATATTACATTATTGAATAGTTATTATATTTTAGTAAACATAATATATATTATTTTAGAAAACAGATTTTTAAAATTAATGAATATATATTATACTTTAAATATGTTATTAATGAACATAATATTTAAATATATAGTTATTATACTTTAAATATGTTATTAATGAACATAATATTTAAATATATAGTTATTATACTTTAAATATGTTATTAATGAATATTATACTTTATATATGTTTTTAATATATATTCATTAAATATGTTATTAATGAATATTATACTTTAAATATTATACGTTAAAACATAATATATAGTTATTAATGAACATAATATTTAAGTATTTTAATGAATATATATTATTTTACTAAATATTTTATACTTTAAAAATATATAGTGAATTTATATTATACTTTAATGAATATATTATATTTTAAAAATAATAAATATATATTATACTTTAAAAATAATGAATTTATATTATTTTAGTGAAAAAATAGATTGGTGTCGAAATAGAAAAAATTACATATTTTATTAAAATGATATATAATGATATTATACTTTATTAAAATGGTGTCGAAATAGAAAAAATAGATTTAAATTACATATTTTATTAAAATGATATATAATGATAGTACTAATTAATGTGCAGTATGGAATATTTTCGTTACTATCGTAGTTGGATGTACGATAGAACGTTACCAGGGAGACGTGGACTTACACCAAATTTCGAGGAAGGAGTTAAGGGGTTTATCACGTGGGCATTTGCACAAGAATGTTGTCGACGTGAAGGAAGAGTGAGATGTCCTTGTCTTAAATGTGAATGTAGACGTATAATTAGTGACCCAGAAGAAGTAGAACGTCATTTGAGAAGGAAGGGTTTCATTAAAAATTATTGGGTTTGGACATATAATGGAGAACAACTGCCGAGTAACGTACATATAGAGACAACTAATACAGACGCATCAAGCAGTCGATCACATATGAAATTTGATGAACAATTTAATCTGATCGATGAAATGGTTGGAAATGCATTTGGAGTAAATGTGACATATGATGAACCTCAGGATTTTGATGGTGAAGAGTTGCCGAATGAGGAAGCACAAAGATTTTACCAATTGTTGAAAGAAATGAATACACCGTTGTTTGAGGGGTCGGCAGATTCAAAATTATCAATGTGTGTGAGATTATTGGCTGCAAAGTCAAATTGGAATGTTCCTGATCAGTGTTTGGAATACTTTGCAAAAATGATGTTGGATACGACTCCTACGAAAGACAACTTGCCTACAAGTTATTATGATGCAAAGAGGTTGGTGTCGAAGTTGGGTTTAGAAGTACGAAAGATTGATTGTTGTATAAATGGATGTATGTTGTTTTATGACAATGAGTTTGGTATTAATGATGAGGCGCTGGAGGAATGTAAGTTCTGTAAGAGTCCGAGATATCAAGTTCGTAGTAAAGCCATTAACCGTAAACAAAAACGTGTAGCAGTGAAGTCCATGTTTTATTTGCTGATAATACCAAGGTTAAAAAGATTGTTTGCTTCAATGCATAGTGCAAGTCAAATGACATGGCATCATACAAACAAAACATCTTCAGGCATTATGCGGCATCCATCTGACGGTGAGGCATGGAAACATTTTGATAGGGTACATTCTGATTTTGGTGCAGAACCTAGAAATGTCAGGCTCGGACTATGCTCTGATGGTTTTACTCCATACGTCCAAGCATCTGCAATTGCATATTCCTGTTGGCCAGTTATTGTAACCCCTTACAACCTCCCTCCAGAGATGTGCATGACAAAACCGTACATGTTTTTGACTTGCCTCATTCCAGGACCGTCAAGTCCTAAATCCGAAACCAATGTTTATTTGCAACCTTTAATAGATGATTTGAAGAGGTTGTGGATTGGAGAATGGACCTATGATATATCTCGCAAATAAAACTTTACTTTGCGAGCTGCCTTGATGTGGACTATTAATGACTTTCCCGCTTATGGAATGTTATCTGGTTGGGGTACGCATGGCAAAATGGGATGTCCACATTGCATGGAATTTACAAAGGCTTTTACTTTGGAATTTGGAGGGAAAAGTTCGTGGTTTGACTGTCACCGCAGATTCCTACCACGAGACCATGTATTTAGAAGAAACAAGACTGATTTCACAAAAGATGTACGAGTAAAAGATTTGCCTCCTCCGCGATTGTCACCATAGGAAATATGGAATCGGGTTTCTGAACTGCCCAAATTTACAGATTACGGTGAAGCATACAGAATTGAAGGATATGGGGTCAAACACAATTGGACAAAAAGAAGTATATTTTGGGACCTCCCATATTGGAAAGATAATTTATTGCGACATAATCTTGATGTTATGCATATTGAAAAGAATTTCTTCGATAATATATTTAACACAGTGATGGATGTTCAAGGAAAAATAAAGGATAATGAGAAGGCTAGAAGGGACATGGAAATTTTGTGTGATAGAAAAGAGTTGGAGTTGAAGCCTCGGCCTAATGGAAAATTATTAAAACCTAAGGCATGTTACAGTCTAACTTCCCAAGATGCTAAAGCGGTTTGTCGATGGTTAAATGAATTGAGAATGCCGGATGGTTATGCTTCAAATTTAGCAAGGTGTGCTGACACAAAAACTGGGAAGTTGCATGGAATGAAAAGTCATGATTGTCATGTTTTCATGGAACGATTGCTTCCAATTGCGTTCAGTTCACTACCCAACCATGTGCTATATCCGCTAACTGAAATAAGTCAATTTTTCAGAGATATTTGTGCGTCAACTTTAAGAGTCAATAGCATCATTAAGTTGGACCAAAATATTCCAGTTATTCTATGCAAGTTGGAACGCGTTTTTCCACCTGGTTTTTTCGATTCTATGGAGCATCTACCTGTGCATCTTGCATATGAAGCCTATCTTGGTGGCCCCGTTCAATACAGGTGGATGTATCCCTTTGAAAGATTCATGGGTGATTCAAAGCGATCAGTGAAAAATAAAGCTAAAGTTGAAGGATCAATATGTGCACATTATTTGCATCGGGAAACATCACATTTTTGCAGTCATTATTTCAATCATTTGATGTTAACTCCAAGAATCATAAGGAATGAATTTGATGTTAACAAAAGAAGTCAGTTTACCTTGTCAATCTTCGGTCTTCCCGGTCGCCCCTCTGGAAAGGAGAATGTGCATTGACTGACCCAAAAAGAATTGCAATCTGCACACGTTCATGTTCTTATTAACTGTATTGAAGTTAGGCCATATCTTGAGTAAGTATACCCCTAACGTATCTACTTATCTGGCTTTACAAATTGAATTATTACATCTAACTTAAAATGTGTTTCTTTATAGGGAATTTAACGCCTCCTATTTTCAAAGCACCGGTGAACAAGCAACTACCGGTCAAATACATGCATCTTTTCCAGCATGGTTCAGGGATCAATTGTCATGCATTGTTGCACCGACTCAAGAAATACTTCATTTGCGTAACTTATCTAGAGGGCCTGTTCAAAGAGCAATTGAATGGCACACATACTTTGTGAACGGCTATAAATTTCACACCCAGGTGTGGACAGAAGGGAAAAAAACCATAAATAGTGGTGTATTTGTTAAAGGAGTTACAGATGGTGGTGAAGACGACTTCTATGGCATTGTTACACATATTTACGAGTTGGCATACAATTACTTGGACTCGGAAAATAGAGTTGTCTTGTTTTATTGTGATTGGTATGATCCATCTTCCAGGGGCACAAAAATAGATAAGAAATATAACATTGTTGATATTCGAATGGACAGAAAGTACAAAGAGTATGACCCTTTCATAATGTCACATATCGTTAAACAAGTTTATTATGTTCCGTACCCTTCAATTCAGTCACGTAAATGTGGATGGTGTGTTGTAATCAAAACAAAACCATTGGGTCATATTGAAACTGACGATCTAGTGGAAGATGCTGCTTACCAAGACCATGAAATTTCTCAAATTAATGATGTGGTTGAAGTTGAAGAAATTACAAATTTGTGTGATACATTGGTCGAGGGTCATCAAATTGATGCGTCTGTTTTGTTGGTAGATAATAATGTGGACGAAGAGCATGAAGATATTGGATCTGAGGACATTATTGGATCAGATGATGAAAATAATACGGCCGAAGAGCATGAAGTTTGAATAGATAGTTTTATATGTGTTCGGACAATTTTTATTAATGTATTATTTGTTTTATATGAATGCAAATGTATTATTTACGTATTATTTATTTACGAAGAGCATGAAGAGTTTTCTTGATTTATTTACGTATTATTTATTTATTGATAACTATTTCAAAATAGATACAATGCCACCCCGAACTGACAAGGGTAAGGCTAAGGAGACCCAGCCTCGTTCGAGAGCCAGAGTGCGTGAGGTACCGCCCTCGCCCATGTATGCTTCTCGCCCACAGTCTCAGGCAGATCTAATGTCCATAGACACTTTACAGCCATTTACGACATTACTCTCCTCCTCCCAAACGGTTCCATCTGGGAATCCATCGTTTATTAGTCCGTTTGGGGGATCCTTCATGCATCCGCTTGGGGTACCATCTACGTTTACGCAGCAGTCTGGGGGATCTAGTTTTCCTGGGGGAGCTAGTTTTCTTCCTCAACAGTATTCCTTCGCGCCGCAGCCTGGGGGATCTAGTTTTCCTCAGCAGACTCACTTTGCACAGCCTGTGGGAACTGTTTTTCCTCAGCAGTATTCCTTCACGCCGCAGCCTTCAGGATCTAGTTTTCCTCAGCCGACACCCTCCACACACCAGCCAGAGGGATCTGGCTCCCGCATTCCACACCCCACACATATACCTGCGAGTCAGCAGCAGGATGACCACACTGTTCAGGGGGATGACGATGTTCATGAGGAGCAGACAAATCCTGTTGCAGAGGAGCATTTGGTGGTTGAAGGACGACATCTGATTAGGCCTGAGGGATCTGGGTATGTTTTTAATTTATAATATTTATTTAGCTATATATTGTCATTTTATGTTAATACTCGTTCAAATTATTGTTGTTTAGTTTTGATCCGTGTCGTCCTGCTGCTAAAGCTGTAAACTGGGTCATTCAATTGATGTATACAAAACTCATTAAGTCTTTCAGAGAGCTCCCAGATGAGGAGAAAGATATATGGTTTGATAAGTTCAAGGTAAATTGTATTTTTATTATAGTTATGTTATTTTATAACGATTTTTTGTTATATATATCTAACATTTTATTTGACTGTCATATAACTTGCAGGAAAGGTGTACTTGGCAGAAATTTGACGAGTTCAAAATTAAAAAAAATTTCAAAAGTAAGGTATCTAGCAGATTATCTGACATGCTTAGGAATGCTAGACAACGTTGGGAAAGAGATCACACTCATCCTAACTGGATAGGCGAGGAAATATTTGGTGAACTTGTTGAGTGGTGGAAGACAGAAGATTTTCAGAGAAGATCTGAACATGCTAAAAAGATGAGGGCATCTGAAGCAGGTGGTTGTCTTAATACAGTTGGAAGTATCAGTATCGGCGAACATCGTCGACGAATGGTAATTATAACTATTTTTTAAAGTTTTTTTTTTGTATTATTATATATATTTAATTAAGCTTCATTATTTTAATTAGAAAAAGGACTTGGGGAGGGAGCCACGAATTAATGAGCTATTTGTGAAGACTCGAACCAAAAAATCGGGCGACTTTGTTGACGGTCGTTCCAAATCAACCTTGGTAACTTGTTTATTTTAGTTGAATTCTTTTAATTTCATAATTACTATATAATTAAATTGTTTAAATTATATTTAATTTAATTTTTTTTAATGTGTGTGTAGGAGTTGTACCCGACATTGCTTGCCCAATTTCTAACTGAAAATCCTCAATATACGCCAATTGGGGATGCACCGCTTGATCCGCGCGTTGATCTTTATATTTGGAATTTAACAGTAGGCGGGAAGAGAGTTAATGGATGTTTTTTTGGTCTGGGGTCTTTGGCTGGTGATTATAGAAAAGGGGACCGAACTTTATTTCAAAGACTCGATGATGGGGAAGGAGGATCGCGTCCGGCAGAATTGACACCAGAAATGTTGGCAACAGTGAGACAGTTAGCTCTAGCTGAGGCGAGACGAGAGGCGGAGACACGTGAGGAGGCCCTAAAGGCCGAAATGGATGATATGAGAAATAGACAAAATGCTGAAATAGAGGAAATGAGGAAGCGGCAATCAGACATGGAGGCACAAATGCGAAAATATTTTGCCTCGAGGTCGAATTATTCTCCCGAAGATGATGACCAAAACGAAGATGAATTATTTAGTGGCGAAGAATAATTTTTTTTATTAGTATTTTTATTTGTGACGTGAATATTACGTCACAACTTTTATTATTATTATTTGTATTTGTGACGTGAATTTCATGTGACTAAATATTTATATATTTTAAATGTATATTATTTTAATTAAAAATTATTCTAATTTTAAATTTATATTTAATATTTAATTTTTATTTTAATTTTATAGTAGCTTTCAGTTAGTATTATTTTTTTTTTATAATTAAATTTAATAGTGAAGTGAATCCCATGTCACTAATTAGTGACGTGGGAATCACATGGGAAGAATATTAATTCTGTGAGGTTTCCCACGTGATAACAAGGTCACAACTTTGTGACGTGGGAATCACATGGGTACTAAATTTACTTTGTGTCAGGAAAGCGTGCAGAGCAATTTGGTAAAGGTAAGTTCCCACATGTCTTTCACGTCACTAATTAGTGACGTGGTTTTCACGTGGGAAGTTTTCTTCTTTATTTTATGATTTGCGACGTGGTAATCCTGTCACAACTTTGTGACGTGTTTTCCACGTGGGAAAAAGTTCCCACCATTGCATTTCCGGCGTGTTTTACCCACGTCGCAACCATTGGCTAGTGAAGTGATTTTTACATTAGTGACGTGAATATCACTTGGGAAAAGGCAATATTTCTTGTAGTGTTATGTGATTAATCTACCAAATTCGAAATGGAGGGGGAGTTGGTTTGGTTTCTGATCGGATAAATAAAGAAAATGCAATTAAGCGGTTAAAATAAGTGATTATCAAAATAAGTCAATCTACTGTTTTCGGTTCCGGCTTATCATGGGTTTCTACCTTACCAATTTCCTAAGCGATTTCGATCTCTGTTCGATTCCTATGTCAATTAACAAGGGCAAAAGACATA